CTGTTTTCAATTTCAAATCCGTTATAGTTTATCAACCATTTTATGTACATACATTATAAAGCAATGTCAGGTGATGTCAAGTTGCTATAAAAGTGTCAAAATGCAAGCTTCCATTTTCTAGGCGTATGTTAGATTAGTTACAAACAGCTCACTGCTGCTCTTTGAGTAGACTCTTCTCAAAGAAAGCTAGGGAAATACATCGCTCTGAAGGTGGAAATAGGATACTAAAAATCCAAAGTCCCAAGTCAGTGGTACTCTTTGTCCCCATATCCAAGAGTTATTCATTCTGGGATTAAACCAACCATGAATCACAAATATTCAGAAAAACATTGCATCTGTATGGCACATGTATAAACCTTTCTCCTTTCTTTCCATCATCCCTTCAACGGTGTAGGGTAACAACCATTTACAATGGACTACAAATGGCACAGAAAACAATACTTAAACCACAGAGTATAGCAGTTATTCTCATAGCACCAAATATTACAAATATCTTAGAAAAGAGTTCACATTTACAGGAGGCTATGCATAAGTTAAAAGCAAATACCACAGTATATAATTATAATAAACTTGATCACCTAACAATGGACTTTGTATCTGTGGAGGTCATGGATCAAATCCCCCGTGGACACCAAGAGACAACTATGTTTTGAGGTATGGAATTGGAAAAGGACAGTCCATAGGGAGACCCCCTGAATGCATGGAAGCTGACTTGGGGGCAAAACATTAACAAGGACCACCATTTTTCTAGTGCCAGGCAGGTATTTGCAAGAAGATACAATGTAGAGATGCCAGAGGGAACATCTGAAAGCACAGGCTTCATGGGGTGCCCTGTATATTCCTGGAGAGTGACTTCTCACCCTGTGTGCTGCCATTGTTTGGCCCTCAGCACAGCGTGCCCTGCTGATGAAGGTGGGCCCAAGGACAGATTACACCCGCAGGACACAATTCCATCACAACGGTTAACATACACGGGCTGGAGAAACATACTCAGACAATTGAGTCATAGAGGACACTGCCTTACCTATTGAAACAGACAAATGTGTGAAGGGACATCCTATCCAACAGAACTGTCTTTGACGACGGTGATGCTTTTGTCTTAATTTGGGCCAGCCAGCAGGGTAGCCATCAGCCCCATGTTGTTAATGAGTACTTGAAAAAAATACCTACTGTGGCTAAGAAAAAAATTAAGTCATTGACATTTAAAATTAAAAAGTTTAATTCAGTGAATCAAAATTAAACTCAGGGAATTTAGATGTGTTGAAATCTCAATTCCTTTACATTCAAAGGGCCTCTTGTGGTTAGACTACCTCACTGGATAGATGATTTGTGGGGTTCATGAGCAAGTTTGTTTTAGAGTAAAAGATATATGGACTCCAGGTCACGTGGGTCAGCTCATAAATCTTTTAATTGCTAGCTCTAACCTCGGATATGTCATTCATCTTCCCTTGGCCTGGCTGTCTTCATGAAACGGACATCATAATATTTATGTTTAGTGGCCTTTGTCAACTAACAGTGAAACATGTAAATGGCCTGACGGACTGAGTATTTAGGAGATGGTAGCTATTGGAGTTCAGCGATGCAGAAGCTGGCTGTTGTCTATGAACACCCATCAGCATCCTGAGCTTCCATAGGAGGAGTAAAGAGTAAACAGTGACACTACAGGCGCTAGATAAACCCAGACTGCTGAAGGTGAACAGACCAAAGCGGCAGCCACTGATGAGGCCTGCCTATCTCTGCTTTGCAGGCAGCTGTCCTTTCTCTCTCAGAGGGATTGCTTCCAGCCCATCCTCCCACTCCTGAAATACCTTCCTCTCCTCCCCGCCCTTTCTATAACTTCAGAATAACTGTTTGAGGGTAAAGAAAAATGGAGTTTAGCCGATAGCTTTAATGTCACGTACTATTCAAAGTCACAGGAGCCAGGTCTGAGGGCTGAGGATCTCTTCAAGGCTTCTCCCATAGAAGGAAAAAGACAAGTTAACCTGGAACACCCGTTATAAACTCTTGGGAGAAGTTAAAAGCAACACAACACAAAACAAAACGAAACACCTCATGCTTGTCTCCTTCTCTCTAATTTGGAGACCTGGTGTTGTCAGGAGCTTTCCAGGTATCTCTACATCTTGCCAGAAAACACACTCTTCTGCCATTCCTTTGGGGGATGGGTTCTGGACAAACGGACTAATCTGACTGGTACCTAACTAAAAGAGAACAAAGAAACAGCACACCTTACTGGGGCCCTGTCTGTGGGTGTTGGGGAATTCTACTTGTTTGGCGAGATTCTGCTTGGAGGATCATAAACATTTGCCCAGATGCCTCTGGGGGGCTGTTCTTGGACACCAGGTCTTTTTTCCTTCCCCTTGCTTCTAAGCTGCTGAGTCACGACTTCTTCCCTGTCTCTCCAGTGGGAGGCACATCTGTTTAGAACACATTGCTCTTGAGCTCACAGGCATTTTTATTTTTGAATTTCCACTAATGATTGAAAGAGTAGGTTCTTACTCATGTAAAGAAACACTGCTGAGAGCAGTGAACCCCCAACCTTTAGATGTTATTATTATTCACCCACACGAAATAAATCCAGCAATCGGAAGCTGTGGCTAATCTTGAGAAAGTACATTTATAGATGCTTGTTTGAGCACCAATCAAACTGTTACATACTTTCAGAGACAAAAATCTTTGTGAAACAAATGAATTCCACGCATAGGCCAATGGCCAACTTCTCTGGGATGATACTCAAACACAGGAAAATTCTAGTTCAAAAAAAATTAGTGTGGTGAATCTCCAGAAGACTATAGTAGCTCTTCAGGTTTTGTCTTGAAAAGACAAATCCTGAATCAGCAGACAAGGAGAAGTTGTAAAAGTACATTTTATTGAACTAATTGATAAGACAGAACATTTACTAGAAGGTTTTGGTCTAGACATTGCTTGCCTCTTGTTCTCTGACCACATCCTTTATCGGGTTTTGGATTATGGTAAGGACAGTATGGGTACATTGAGAAGAAAGAATGCCTCCAACAAGAACTCTAATCCTGCTAAAACCCAGGGCTTTGTTTAAGTGACTTATTGACCTGTACTTCATTATCAAGAAATAATTTGATTTGGGCAAGAACTCGGCCAGTCGGTGGTGGCACACACCTTTTTAATCCCAGCACTCTGGAGGCAGAGGCAAGCAGATCTCTGTGAGTTAGAAGCTAGCCTGGTCTACATAGCTAGGTCCAAAACATCCAGGGCTACACAGAGAAATCCTGTCTCAAAAAAACAAAAACAAACAAACAAATACCCCCCCCAACAACAAAAATAAGCCTGGCAGGTGGTCCAGCCCTTTAATCCCAGCACTTTGGAGGCAGAGGCAAGCAGATCTCTGTGAGTTCGAGGCCAATCTGGTCTATAAAGCAAGTCCAGGACAGCCAGGGCTATTACACAAAGAAACTCTGTCTCAAAAAAACAAAACAAACAAACAAACAAAAAACAAGCAACAAAAAACCCCAAAACAAAACAAAAAACACACAAAAACAAACACAATAAAACAAAACAAAAAACCCCAAACAAAAATCTAGAACTCACTGTTTATATTTCTGATTTCCAAAGCATAGGGTAATCTTTTATAATTTAAAAGTCAATATTTTGAAGAGGACCCCATGAAAAAAACTGAGCAAGAAAGGTAATTCCTGCGTGGCTTTCCTGAGGAGCCCTGTGCTGAGCGGACAAGTTGGTGGGTATGTCGGTTCTCCCGACTCTTGCTTCTGGAGGTTTCCTTCTGCCTTGGTATTGTTCTCTGCTGGGTACAGTCAGCTGCTGTGGCCTTACATGAGGCACTTAGGAGAAAGAACCTTGTTTTTTTCCTGAGTAGGTCATGGCCTCCCACCTTCCGTCTCTATGTCCAGGAGACAAGATATTCTTTACTAGGATGTCCTGGGGGCACATGGAATGGAGGTTTGTGTGTCAGTCAAACAAGGCTTAAAAGAAGGAATTGGGGCAAACAAACAGTGTGTGTGTGTGTGTGTGTGTGTGTGTGTGTGTGTGTGTGTGTGTGTATGGGGGGCCAGGTGGAGGTCTGCTTTGGCTGGAAACTGGCTGCATTCACTATGATAATGTTGAAAAATCGCTTCCCTCATTCCACTGGCACTGGGTTTGGAGTAGGAGTGGAGGCCACAGTGAAATCTGCTGACAAGGAGCTCATTTACACGCCAAAGTTCTACTCAAGCCCCAGCATCGCATCACTTACTAACACAGCACTCTTGTGAACGGCCAAAATTTTATTACAGAAATAAGACTTTTATTTGATAATTTCCGAACTAGAAGGAATTAAGTGTTGCACAATTTAAATACGTACAAATGGCCTTTCCCAGAAAACCATAAAAAATGCCATTACATTTCAAAGTAGTAACGGTTAAAAATAGAGAGATTTTGCTTAATAGTGTTTTGTTTGTCTGTTTTTTCTTGAGGACTATACCGTGACCCCTACTCGCCTTTAAGTTCAGTCGTTTTGATATGCATAGATTTTTTTTTTTTTAACTTTTAGATTTCTCACTAACGAAACTCAATTAGAACGTTCTTAGTCTTCCTAAATGCCTCCTCCCACGGGTGAAAAACCGGTTACAAACCACGTGGCGAACTGGGAGATTTGACAATATCTTCCAGAAGGGGCCATCAGGTGGGCTCCTGGCATCTCCAACCAGGCCTGGTCTGCACAGTCCTAGCGTGGGAGTGTCACAGCCCAGGGCGGCTTCTCTGGGGTGGCAGCAGTGAGTGGGGCAGGAGGCGCAGGGGTGGGCGTGGGGCTGATGGAGGTGTGGCCGGGACGCAGGTGGGCGGGGCGGGGGCGAGGGAGGAGGCGTGCGGGAGCGGGGTGGGGGCTGGGGGAGGTGGGGCTGGAAGGTAGGCTGGGGGCGGGGCGCTCCGGGGGCGTGCCGGCTGCGAGGGGACACGCGCTCTGGGCTGCAGCCACTGGCTCCAAGTTCCCTCCCTCGCTCCCCCGCCGAGCCTGCCTGCGCCCGCCCCTTCGGTGCGGAGGAGCAAACGCGGTCGCCGTCAGCCCAGCCCTCCGCTGCCGCGCGATCTGGGCCGGTTCGGCCAGCCTGGTCCGCTCCGAGACCCGGCTGCCGCTTCATCCCGGCCTTTCCGCGCCTCGCGGGGCCCACGCTCCTCCTCGTGGTCTCCGAAGCCCGGTGCCTGGCCTGGCCGCCTTGCAGGGGCCGGAGCGCGGGCCGAGGTAAGCTTGGGGCGCTGGCGGGTGGGGAGTGTGTCCTGGGGTCCCGCTCCGGCCGGGCCTGGGCGCCGGGGATCCTAACCAGCTGTCCGCCCTGCGCTCGGCTGCGCGCCCTGGCCTGGAGGCGAGGCCCGGGCACGGAAGGAGCGCTGTGGGGAGAGGGTGGGTGAGGACGCGGCGGCCCCCGGCCCCACTCCGTGTTGCATCTCCACCCAGGTCACCCCGTGGGCGCGTCCGTGTGCTGCCAGTTCCTGCAGGAATGCAGATCCCGGGGTTCTGAAAGTTTGTTACCCCCCTTCCCACCCCACCCCCCTCCAGCAGTCTGCCCACAGCTCGGTTGTCTCTGTTTTCTTTGAAAGCATGCATGTTGGAAATAGAATAAAATTGGTCCCAGCTCACTCATGCCCCTGTCACCTAGCGGCGCTCAGAACTTGGCGACAATGCTTGGCTGTGGGAAGCTGATGTCTGGGCTGCCCTCCTTTTGTTAGACCAAGAGCCTGATGGTGTAAAAGCACTGACAAGTCTCTCCATTCTAGCCAGTAGAGAAGGAAGAGGAGATAACTTTGCCTTATTACTTCCCGAAGTGGGCACCTGACGCCCAGCTTTTTAACCCTTTCAAGTTGCTATTCAGATTTATTGACACTAACTCCAGTCCCCCTCCAAGAAAGAACAGGCATTCTTTTCTGCCTAAGGTTCAGGCAGATTCTGCGTTTCCCCCCACAGCCAAGTTATGTCCTGTGAAAATCTGGCGCACATCTGTGACAACAGTGCGTGGCTGGCTTGTGAGGACTGCCGAGTCTATTTTTGCAGAGGAATATGATAGCGGAATCAGCATTTTTTTCTGAATGAATAATATGACTTCCATTTTCATTTCCTCTGTTGGTGTGAGTTATTTAGCATCCACCATCCTAAGCCATGTACCTGTGTTGCTGTTGTTGTTATTATTGTTTGTATTTGTATTCATTTTGTGGTATTACAATCTGCTCATTCAAATGAGGTATTTGTTAATCGTAGTTGTTTTAAGGTAAGGGCAAGTTGATGGTAACATGCCATTGATTTACCCCATTACATTTAATCTGTGACGTTTCTTAGATTATTTACCTTAAAATCGTGACTTGAATACAGGGATGACATTACTTCTTGAACCTGAAAAGCTGCAAAGGCCTTAACATAGGGCCTGGCAGACAGAGAAATGTTAACTATTTTTATTTTCATTTCAGTCTATGGCTTTGCTGTTTAGGAAAAGAAAAATGGTTCTTCTGTTTGTTTTCATCCCAGATCTTTTACAGTACGCTCTATTTTGAGCCTGTGTAATTTTAGATCAGAATTGAGGTTGGGTTGTTTTCGTGAGACTGACAAGCTGCTGGCTCTGTGTGTCCTCAGTGGCTTGAAAGCGGGGATTGATATTTGGCGGGTCTAGGAGTCTGAATCCAGTCATGGCCTGGCGGGTTTCATAATAGGAACTGGTTGTCTCTAAGAGCCTAGCTGTCCATGAAGGGCTTAAACAGAAGTTCTCCGCTGTGAACGTTGTCTTCACATCACCCTCTTCTCTAGGCTTTCAGTTTCCAGGTGAAAATATCACACTGACGTAACAGTTAATTTACACGCTCCGTGCTTGTCATTAGTGGAAGTATTTGCCCCCTCAGACTCTAACCTTAAAGCCTTGGGGTCGACATCTCAAGACTAAACGGTTGAGAGAAAAATAAAACTACCCACTGCATATTCAGTAACCAAAAGGTGACACTCAGAGTTTAGATATTTTACATGAGTCGGTTAGCTATCAGTTTACCCTCTACCCCACCACTGACTCTGACTTACAGTCCTTTTCATTCTTCAGTGTTTAGCTACAGAAAGGCTTTGCATGAAGTCTTGGGGTCTCCCGAAGCTGAGCTGCTGTAGGTTCAGCCCAGCGACAGCAGGTGGTGCTGTGGGGAACTGTGGCAGCTCAGCTGAGGCACAGGTATGCTTAGAGACTATTAGGGAAGGATAATCTGTGCCAGTGCCTGTCAGCCTTGAAAAGGCCCAGGCTAACAAACACCAGCATGCACTAGTGTTAGGAATGACATGGCTCCTTAAGTTTCCTCTGTGTATCTGTAACTTTTGGGGGGACATTTACCTGGAAAATGTGTTCTCGTTTGGGAGTTCTATAATGTTCTAGAGGCTAAATGCACACTGCTTAATGAAATACACTAGGTGTGCTCCTCACTTTCATTTTTCCGTGTCAGGGTCAGGTGGACCAACCTAAGCCAAGGGCCTCTAGCTAACTTGGACTTCTTCTTTTTTCAATATGGACCTTCAACACAGAGAGACAAATGGTAAGGAACCTACTAGCCTCTTGAATTTATGTAGGGAAAACTGTCTCAGGCTGCCCTCTCTCCCTCTTTCTGGTCTGTCTCTGTCTGTCTCTCTCTCTCATTTTCTGGCTCATAAGCAGTTACCTCTGAAAGTCAGTCCTGTGAGCAGTATATCTCCGGGCTCGCCCTTACTTCTCTCACAGACAATAGTTTTGCTGTTATCTGCTTTCTGTGGGTGAATGTAGTGACGTGTGTGCCTCGTCAGTAGAAAGATGTGTGTAAGTGCCGGGGTCCAGGGGCTTTTCTGCTGCCCAGCGAGGAAAAGCTTCTCTTCCTTTTAGCTGGCTGGAGCTGACTGCTCAGTTTTTGGGAGGGTTTGGTATTAGCCAGTCTAATCACGCGGTGATCGGATTTGGATTTTCTGGGTAGTACTTGATCACCAAACAGTCTAAAACTAGGGGAAACTGAGCTTTAAATTTTTTTTTTCTTCTCCCTAGAAGTTTCTCATAATTCATGGCAAAGATGACTTGTTTTAGGAGTTGAGAGGGCTGGCAGTTGAATGTCTTTGAATTAGATAAGAAGCTAATAAAGACAGCTTAGACACTGAGGCAGTGAAACGTGTTGGGTCTGTTTGGGGCACGACAGCCCCAGCTCTGTTGTGTTTCTTTCCTTCAGTGAGCTGGTTTACTCTGATCGCTTTCATGGGCTAGGTAGGACTGTGACTGGCTGAAGCGAATCTCTGCTCTGTTTCTAGTTGCTGCTGGATTTGCTCGACAGTTGAGGGGCAGCGTTAACTTAATTTAAAAAAAGAACAATGATGGGTGGTGCTTCTGAGGTGACCACCCTACAGAAATACAAATAGTGATATAAACGGGTAGTACTTGAGAAGCCCTGAAAAGAGCAGCTGTCTCCGGCACAGTGCTGGCCCCAAAGTTTGGTGGAACCATGCAATGAAAGTTCTGACATGGATGGTGGACATAAAAGAATTGAATGATAGCTGTGGGAATGTGTGTGTGTGTGTGTGTGTGTGTGTGTGTGTTTTCATTGTTTATAGCAATGATGGCAATAATTAAGATACGGGCCAACCTTTTCTACTCGGTTGTAATCCTTTTTCATCCTGTTTGTAGACAACTTGAGCAAGTCTCTTAATGATTATTCTGTGATCTAAAATTCATAAACTTATACTTATATGTATTTGCCTTTTGACACCTTTGCTTTCTACCTGTGTATAAGGGGAAGGGACTGGGTGAAATTTTAATCGTTTTCATATGATGACGTTTGTCACAATAGGAGACCTCCTGCTTGTGGGCCTTCACACTCCCCTACTTCCCCATCATACAAGCCTTTAAAGCTTAGTAGCCAAACAGATAGCTTCCCTTTCTTCTAGCATTGTCAGAGCGTTGCACAATTTTCAGTTGTACTAGAGTTTAAAATTGTAAATGATTTGGATGCAGATCCAAAGGAAAACACCTCAGCTCCAGGAAACTGTGTCATTTAGCAGACAGGTTTCTGGAAGAATTGTAAGAATTCCATGGTGTGGTTTATGCTTCAGGCCAACATCAATGTGGTTTGAAATTGTCCAGGTCCAGATAAGGCCTTTTAAAACAATCCTAAGCACGTGGGATTTGGGGGTCTTTGTGTTGTATTGAAAAGCAGTTTTTTTCCACTCCTACTGACACAAGAAGGTTGTTTTTTTTTTTTTTTTACCTTTTAGGTGTATTGTTAAAGAAGAATCTTGGATAATACTTCAAAATGACCACCCTTGCCAGTGATGCTTTGGTCCCAAAAACTGAAACTTAGTAAAAAAAAAAAAAGAAAAAAGTAATGCAAAAGAATATAGTTAATAATTTGCCCTATATTAAAAATTATTTGCAGAGCACTGATCATGTGTGAGGGTTTTTTTGTTTGTTTGTTTGTTTTGTTTTTTTAATAAATACTAGCCAGGAAAAGATGTGGTCCCTGCTTATTCATGGCTTGTATTAATTGTTTTTCCTGTAACTATGTGTCCTGCAGCTATGATTTAGTATCAGACAAAAGCAACTTAGAGGAGAAAGATTTATTTTGTCTCACAGTTCGGGGGAGTCACAGAGGCAGCAGCATGGGGCATTGACACTGCAATCGGTCAGGAAGCAGCAGGAGGCGTTCGCTTCTGCCCAGCTATCTTTCTGTTTTTATGCAGCCCAGGATAGAAGCCCAGGGAATAGTCCTGCCCACATCGGGCCGTAGGGCTTCCCACCTCATCTAATCTCACCTAACCTCACCTAAATCAAGAGCATCCTTCACAGTCATGTTCAGAGGCTGACCTCACCCAAATCATCCCTTATAGTTGTGATTGAAGGCTTGTTGCCTAGGTGATTCCAGACCCTGTCAAGTTGATAATCAAAACTAATCTCAGAAGGCTTTGGAGTGCAATGTGGGCAAACGGACAGTAAATCAGTGGTTCTTAACCTTCCCTGTGCTGTGTGCGACCCTTTAATACAGTTCCTCATGCTGTGGTGACCCCCAACCATAAAATTATTTTTGTTGCAACTTCATGACTGTAATTTTGCTACTGTTATGAATCGTAGTGTAAATATCTAAAATGTGACACCTCCCCCGCCCCCAAAGAGGTTGCAACCCACAGGTTGAGAAGCACTGAATTAAAAGAGTATGCAAAAGCCTAACTTGAAGAAATTCCAAGTGAAGTTGAGGATGGGCAAGATGTCCCAC